ATTTCTCACTTCGAAGTTTGGGTTTGCCGTGCTGCCGTACGGTGATCACCCAGGAAATAACGATAATCACAAGTTGTTTGGAACAACAACCGCGTTATGGCTGCAGTCAACACGCATTCCTGTGAGCAAGATGTGATTCAAACAAAGTCAAATATTTTCCATATGTAATCATGATTAGCTCTCTTTAAAGGCTTTGTAGTGAATAGATGTACTCATAGATGATGTATTACCAGATAATCTGTAAAATAACAGATGATGCATGATTTTGATAAGAATGAGAGAGGAAAACTAAGACTTAGTGTCTCAAGGCATATATGTAAAAATGTTTAACTCTTTCACATTTCTGTTTTTAGGATAAAAGACAATAAAGATAAAACATGGTGCATTGATCCAAATTCTGAGTGGCTCAAAGACAAAATAGAGAAGGTGAGTAAGGCATGGCGTTACACAAAGTTACTCTTCTTCAAACAAATGAAATGTATATTACTGGATCATGTTGTACTAATCCGACTAATCAGAAGTGCCATACTTTTGTACTTGCATTTGTTATTTAACATTTATTAATGGACAATACTTTCCCTCATAGTTGAGCTACTTGCTGTAGTGCCGAGTCTTCAGCTGCCTCAAATCTCAATGCAGTCATTAAAATTTCCAAAGACCCCCTCATTCTTCACTTTTAAATCATTTTTAAACACGTTATAGATTGTTGAATTCTTACTGCCATCTTTACTCCTAGCTACCACTGGAACGATTAGTATTAAAAACCTTTTCAACCAAAATTCCTTCAGATAACAGACAGTCTGTTTCAGTGGAAAGACCGCCTATAATCGATCTATCTGAAAGAAACTGTACCAATAAAACATTACAAGCCCTCAAAACTTCTGTTTTGACTCCATCTTTTTTCTTCTCTTGCAGGAAGAATTGAACTGTCCTCCGGTGATTAGTGAATAAAGTAACAATGAGACCAAAAAACATCAGCGTAAAGAAGCTGCAGACAACAATTATGTTTTTTTTAAATAATTAATAAATTTTATATATATTTATACATATTTATTCATAATGTTTTTTCCACATTGGGCAATTGATGTTATTTTAATTTATTGTGAATACAGTAATAAAAAGTTCTATGTGACTATAAGTAAAATCAATAGTATTGGACAATAAATAAATATGGAGCATATTAAAATCTACTGGTTGTTGTAATTTCTTTGACATGAATGATGGGTGGCAGTGCAGCGGGGATTTTTGTTCTGATTCAGTGTCACATTTCTTTCAAATTCTAAGGATTTCAAAGCATTACAGGTAGAAATAAATAAATAAAGGAGTTAAAGTAAAAGCATTATTTATCAAAACACAGAATGCTGATAATGAAGGGAAACTTGCATGTGAGAAGAAACTAGGGATAGTTTTTTATATAGTTCATGTAACACGAGGCATAATTACAT